CAGTGCTCCCTGAATGTCTCTGTAAACCTACATCACAGGATTCAAATGAGAATTAAGTGAAGTAACACGGGAAACTGCTTTATAAATAATAGGTCACGACCTCACAAAGGTTGGTTATTTAAGATGGTGTGGTATAAAACAGTCACTCTCATATTTAGGTCTGAGAACACATTCTCAGGGATACACAAGTTCTTCATGTAAATGTTTTTGCTCTTTTTTAAAAAAATTTTGTTTTTATGTTGGTGTTAATCTTTTAAAAAGTTCATGTGAGCACATTCTGGATCATCTGAACATTCTCCCGATAATTGCCGTGCAACGTGTGTATTCATGATAGCATTCGTGCCAAGTAATTGCACTTCCGTTGTTTCCAAGCTAATGAAAACAGACACCGCAGACTTATTATGGAGCGTCTATGTTCCTGCAAGAGACGGGCAAGCAACAACGGCGAAATTTCTAAACAAGGATTTGGTGATAGTTTGGGTCCAGAAAACTGAGGAAAAAAGCCAATCACTACATGGCACACTACAGCACTGTTAAACTGAACTTTAAAGAAAAGAATCCCGCCCACCTGCATTGAGAGCAGTGATTTAACATCATGCATCTTTTGTGTTGGTTTTATAGCTTTGTGTATATTTATTGTAATTGGATTTTAGTTAGTCATATGAAAAGATTCCATTTAAGTTTATACTCAGATCCATATTCTATATATTTAAATAACATTATAGAATGAACATACATTAATTAAATAATTAACTTTAAAATTTAATACTTGAGGGGTGTGGCCCATGAGATCAGAACTCAGGAAAGAACTCAGGTTACATCTTCTCTCTGTACTTTGCTGTGTGTCCCTGGGCAAGTCAAATGGCCTCGTCTCTATTTCTTCGCGGTAAAATAAGGATAATAGTGTCATCCACACAGGGCCATTGTGAGGAGTAAATGAAACAAGGAATATAACCGTGAATGAATGCCTTCTCAGGTACAGTACGTTATGGTTACAATAAGAGCTCTGAACCAAGAGTGGAGGCTTTCAACCTACAAGTCTATGTCACCTTGGGCAAAGCGCCTTCCCTCTGAGGGAGTCACATCCCAATTTCCTAAAGCGAGGTGTGTCCGATTACCTCCCAGTTCCTTCTGAGAGAGCTATAACAGAAGGTGCTGGGTTTTCCACTGGGATTTCAGTAGACTCCCCATTTTCATATGACACCTGTAGTTACTTGGTTTCCCCTTAGCTTCATTTCAAACTTACTACTCTGAGAAATAAACAAAAAACGTTAAGATTCACTTGCGATCAACACAATTTACCAAAAAAATGGGGGGGGGTGCGGGGGGGGTTATAAAAGCTAAATTCTCCTGTCTATCAGAGAGATCTTATCTTTCTTCGCTTTGTTGTTTTCTCTGGTGTAATGGAAAGACAGGACTCATAGCTGAGCCTTCTCTCTGTACTTGGATGAACACCCTAGGCAAGTCAAACGACCTCTCCACATTGACTGCACTGCTTAAAAGGCAGGCTCTGGACAGACTTGTGAATTCAAATCCTGAGTCCACCGCTTGTTAGCTGTGCAGCCTAGGGCGACTTGTAACAATTAATGAGGTAGCAGTTGTAAAGCACTCAGCTGTGAAGCTGGGTACTTTGGAAAACGCTCCGCCAATGTTGGCTATTACTAGTATTACCAGGTCCCCTTCCCTCTCGTCCTCGGCTTTCCAGCTACTGAAAGCAGAGGCTACAATACTTGAAGCATGAATGGAGTAATAAGAAAATCTGAGCAAGGTAACAAGGAGTGGCAACCAATACTCAACGCATAGGACAGATGGACAGAGCAGCCACCATACATGTCAGGGAGCTTAGGCTGGATCTGGGTTCCACAGTTTTCTAGCTTTGTGCATTTTATTATGTCACCCCATTTGAGTTTTTGTTTCCTCTGCTCCAGACTCAGGCTAGTAATACCCTATTTATTTCACAAGACTGTTGGTGCAAGGTTCACAAGCGAATATTCGATATATACGAAAACACTTCCTAAAGGACTAAACGAGGCGTTTTTTCTCACTGACGGGATCCACTTTGAAGGCGCGCCGAGTTGGAGTCTATCTCTGGCCCCATTACTAACAAGCTGTGCTGATGCCGGGACCCCTCTGAGCGCGTTCACCTGCTAGGTGATGACAGCAGGAACAGCCACCACTGTCGCGGGCTTGCCGTCCGCCAGGCACTGCGCCGAGCTCTGCCTCTGCGCGCCAGGTCGCCTGTCTCACTCAGCGCTCACAATTCTAACGCAGACCTTAAGTCCATTTAACACATGCAAAAACGAAGGCCGAGAGAAGTTAGAAAGCTGCCATCCAGCACTTACAGGGCTGAGGTTCTAAACACATCTGTCTAATCATAAGACAGAACTGCGAGCAACCAATAGTTCCGACTCTACCCCTCTAATCGCCGGCTTTCCCGCAACTATTCACAGAGGAGCATCAGGAAGGAGCGTCAGCCAGAACGTCACGCCAGCGGGACGCTGGGCTCCACCGAGCCTCGGGTCAGCCCCTCTGCGTTCCTTTCCAAGCCCCGCCTCGGCCCGCCTCCCGGCCGCTGGGGCGCCGCACACCCACGACAGGCCCGGCCCACAGGGTTCCTCCACCGCCCCCAAGCGTAGAAAACATAGCACGTACCCAGACTGCACCGCACCTGGCCGGATGTAGCGCATGCGCCCTCAGCGCGCCGGAATTTCCTGTCCGCACTTATAGCTTCCGGCGGGGTGCGTCCGACCAATGCAGTGGGCTCGGAGGCGGGCCATAGTGCTCCCAGGCTCCTCCCCCACCGGGGCGGTCTGAGCGGCGGAGAAAGACCCGTGTGAGGCCGGGACGGCCCCGTGGTGGCTCATGGCTGCCTCCGGGGCGCTCAGCACTTTCCGTCTCCCGCCGTTGCCCACGATTCGAGAAATCATTAAGTTGTTCAGACTGCAAGCGGTGAAGCAGCTCTCCCAGAATTTTCTCCTGGACTTGAGGCTAACAGGTGGATGGCTTATCAGTGCTCCTGGCATGTCTCCCTGAAGTCCCGTGGGGGCGTGGGCCGGAACTTCTCGCGCGGACCCTGCGGGCGGGTGAGCAGGGTCAGGCACAGGTGCACAACCGGCCTTTAGTCGGGTCCTTGCATCACTTCTTGCAAAAAGAACTCCACGCCCAGCAGACGCGTGGAACGCGTTGTGTGCTCGCGGAGCCCCGTGCTCGGGACCTTGCGATGAGCTGGTGCAGGCAGGTTGTGCAGACCCCGAGCAGTCACTAGGGGAGGAAGGGTGCGCGTCCCGTGGAAGGTTGTGGACGGTCGGATCTCACTGTGTTAACACTGAAGTGGTACAGCACGTGCTGATTAGCTGTGCTTTTCATGCAGTTTAAAGTTACCCGGATTTAAATTAGTGCAGGGATTTTATCAATAATACGTCGAAAAGGAGTATCACTCATGGACTTGTCATTGAAACGTTTGCTTGAGCCTGAGAAATCCTAGGGGGCGCAAATACTCCGTCGGTAAATGCGTACTGAACAAGCTATGTGTTAAGTGTTGGGAGCTCTGCAAGTGGGAGTGTGCAAGGCAAAGTTTGTCCACAAGGAGCTTACATTTTCGTTAAGTTTACGACCCCACTCCCTATTTTAAGTCACTTTTTATGCGGTAGAATTTGTGTACACTGAAATTCTCCAGTTTGAAACGCAGTTTGCTGAGTTTTAGTTAACTACCACCGTTTCTTAGTGATGTTCCCTTCTAAAAGACGAGGTTGCAAGAATAAGATGTACCACAAGTGTGTCCGTTAATTCACTGTTGGAGTACTTAACTATTATTGAAGTTTTGATATTTCATTCTATTGGGCCCCCTCTTCAGCAGCTGAAAAGATCAGTAAATCACACCCAAGTAGTTCATTTTCAGTTAAATGAAGTGTCATCCACAAAGCTCCACTAAGATGTATTTCTTTATTCTGCCAGTTGCAATATGACTTTGGGTAAAATAGCTTAATTCAGCTTCAGTTTTTACATCTGTTAATTGGAGTTTAAAAGGTTAGCCACCTCTAAAATTCTTTGGTCTGGTAGTAACCAAAACCAACCTTTTTTGCTGGTCATTATCCACATTCCAGGTATAAAGCTCCATTCTCAAGACCGAAAATAGAGGTCTTTATAGCTAAAAAAATAAATACATAAAAATTCATATATATTTTCTCATGTGAGCCTTTATTCACCCTCTGAAGTGAATTCCAGAATTTAGATACTATCGGGAGTGCCAAAAAAAATGTATACACATTTTAAGAGATGCTATGTATGCTCAAGCAGTAGTTTGCCATAATCAGAAGTGTCTGGACGCTGGTGGTAACCGCTTTGAGCACCTTGTGTAATCGCAGAAGTCAAGTGTGACTTGTATTCATCTTTTGTTAATTGGTATTATTACAATGAATACAGTTTTATCCTTAAAATATGTATACATTTTTTTGGCACCCTCTGTATTCTCTCTCCTGTGGGAACCAACATGAAGGGGAATTAAGATGCTTGTCTGAGGTGAGACGGTCAGGTGTGAGCAGAGCAAGCTTTCGTGAACTGACTGTGCCTCTTTGATATTCCTTCATATTTGGAAGTGCCTGAAAAGCTGGAGGGCTGAGCCACTCACCTGCCTACTGTCATAGCTCTCCTTTTTAAAAATGAGAGTATTAAGTTCACTCCATAATGCTTGTGCTTAATGTATCACATTTGTTCCCTCTGAGAGACATTGGTCTGTAGTAGAAAAATTGGCTGTAGAATTGACACCTGAGCTGGAGCGCCTTGATGAACCTTGCCCAAATAAAACGGACAAAGTACCTGTGAAGTTTGGAAGTTAAATTGGGATAGTAGTTCTTAATTAACGTGTTGTGATAAAGCACCTATGACAGATGGCCAGTGGATGCTGGTTACCTCCCTGCATCCATTAAAAGACAACACGATTTTTGGATGATTTGGTGACGTTGCTTTTTAAGCCTAGGTTCTCAATTACAGAAGCAAGAGTGGGGACTGTAAGTACAGTATCAGTGAACACCAAGAAGTGCTGGTATGTTTTAAGTGTCTAAATTTCTACTATGCCATCAGGCCTAATTGCTTGGATTTTAATATCTCAGTCAGTAAGACCAGCCTGTTGTGTTTTTTTCAGAAGTGATGATTGGTTGCAGTGAGTCTTCAGTAATTCGCTTTTCCATAATTTCTTAAGGTGTGCTAATTTAAAGATTAATTAAAATAATTTTTTCATATCAGCTTGCATGTTTGCAAAGCTTAAAAACCTCCATTGCTAAATTTAACTTTTAACCGAAAATGACCAAAAATCCAAATTTCTGCAACTCCTGTGATCTAGGAATTGTTGCCACTGCCATATTGGCCACCAGCTAGGTGTCCATAGGTAAGCATGGAGACTGCAGGCATTTTTTGCTTCTGGGTTTTTAACTAGCAACATTGAAAATCCTGAATGTGAAACGAGTCTAGCTTCTCAAATATTTGATGTTCAACAGCTGCAGGAACGTGATGCATGTTTATCCAGTCGATTCTTCTTAGGAAATGATTGGTTTGGAGGAGGAACAGGTAGAAAATACAGTATTAGCCAAATCTAAGTTGAGGAAATATGTCATGATAATCCTATTTTTGTTAAGGGACTGGTACTTTTCAACAATGATGTGGTAGAATATTGAATGGCCACTATATGTTGTTGGTTTAGATTGAGAGATAAATCATTGGATAAATATTGTATATAGAGTAATGGCTGATAAGAATTTGTAGAGATTATTTTTCTTTTTAAATTCCATACACCAAAATTTGCCGAGATAATCAAGGTAACTAAAACTTTCTTTTCTCTAGATAAGATTGTAAGGAAAGCTGGCAATCTGACAAATGCCTATGTGTATGAAGTGGGCCCTGGGCCGGGAGGAATCACAAGGTCCATTCTCAATGCCAGTGTGGCTGAACTTCTGGTGGTCGAAAAGGACAGTCGCTTTATTCCTGGATTACAGGTGAGATACTTAAGTGTCTTTAAGTTTCCTTAAGTTTTTAAAAAGTGTCTTTTTAAAAACCCAATTTAAATCTTTAGGTAATGACTCTTAAACCCCAGGGTATCCAAGGATTATATAGGTTGCTCCTCAAACTGCAGGTCTCCAGGTCCCCTTGCAGAGATTTTGATTCTGTAGTTCAGAGAGGTTTCAAAAGCTGCATTTCTAACAAGCTTCCTCACGTGGTCTGTTGACCACAATTCACTAAACCTGCTTTTTGCATTTATGCTAAACAGATTGTTTTGTGTCACCTTTCTAAAAAATCTAATAGCTGTGCATATCATGGCCCATTCCTTTAAAAATAAGTAAAAATAAATAATGCCAATAATGACTCAGCATGACTTCTGAGAACTTCCATGTAGGTTCAGAAAATCATTTCTATATGCAAAAGATAGAGAAAAGATGCTTAATCGAGAGGCTAATTGTTAAGCTTAGGGATTCATGTAAGAATTCTTTAAGTGAAGGAATGAAGTGATACAAGTATCTTTAAAACAATCAGTCTGAGCTGTTAATAAATGAGGACTATTTAAAGGAGCTGGGCACATTTCAACGAGAGAAAAGCCTTGAATGAAGGAATTCAGAGCTGCCTATCAGAGGTTAGCAGTAGAGAGGATAAACAGGTTTTGATTTTCTCTAGGAAAGAAATAAAACAAATAGGTGGGAAGCGAGGGAGGCAGATGAGGATTTAAAATAAAAAGGGACAAATATTTTTAAAACGTTGGCAAACAGTATAAGAGATTATGGCTGGAATCTTGTAAGGGGAATTCTTCATGGGGGCATTTAATGACTTAAGGGTCTTCATTTGATTTCCTCCCTTTAAAAGAGCCTTTATGGCCAGCCGAGGGGCTCAGTTGGTTAAGAGTGTGAGAGCTCTGAGCAACAGGATCACTGGTTCGATTCCCACATGGGCCAGTGTGCTGTGCCCTGAGCTGAGCAGCCGCTGAGCTGCCAATAGGTGGCAGGATGGCTCAGCTGGTGAGAGCATTTGCGTCTAACAACAAGGTTGCCAGCTCGACTCCTGCATGGGATGGTAGGCTACCCCCACCCACAACTAAGATTGAACACGGCACCTTGAGCTGAGTGGCTGCAAGCTGCCCACGGGCAGCCAGATGGCAACTGGACTTGGAGCTGAGCTAGCTGCGCCCTCCACAACTAAGACTGAACGACAACAACTTGGCTGTTCTCCTTCCTCAATTAAAAAAAAAAATCTTAAAAATAAAATAACAATATTTCCACATTTGTTAAAAAAAAAAAAAAGCAATTAGCCCTTGGCTCAGATGAGTAACAATTAGGTGACGCCAATAGAATAATATTGGGTTGTCAGAAAATTCATGATGCATTTTTGCAATGAAAAACAGAAAAAATACATCATGACTTTTCCTACAACCCAATAAAATTATCTGCATTACTATTTTCATACAAGAGGACAAATTGGTTTCAAGCTAGTACATTCTAATACTTGTATATTAATGGAAAAATGTTTAATTTCTGCTAGAACAGTTTGCAAAAATTTGTTTGAAAACCTAGGCCTTTGTGTGCATCTGATTTTTCAAATAAACCTAGTGATTTTTTTCATTATTTTGCTATATCTGGTTTTTCTAATTTAAGAAATTATATAATATTTACGTTTACCTAATTTTGCCAGTTTTTACTGACAGAATTGGTTTCAGTTTATAATTTTAATTTGGGATAATATATGGTATGTGTTCCTTGATCAAATGTGAAATTTGATCATGATTTTTGCTTTGAACTGCTTTCTTATTTAAGACCTGTATCTCACTTGGAGGTGGAAGTGGGAATATTATTAGTGAGATTAGGAAATGATGAAAATAAATTGAATAATACTATGTAATTCCCTTCAGATTTAATCACCTGGCCCTTTCTGGACATAGGGAATACTCATCTGACTTTTTTGCCCTTAAATGAAACTTTTTTTTTTAAAGATTTAATTAGGGATTTGAGGAAGAGGAACAGCGTTGAGGAATCGGGGAAGGGGAACAGACAAGTTGCTGTCCTTTTGTTCTTCAGTCTAGTTGTGGAGGACCTCGCTTCACTGGCCCATGTTGGTATGATCATTGTGCTCTTCCCTGGTGAGGCAGTCGTTCACCGGCCATTGGTCGGTCGCTCACGGTAGCTCAGGAAAGCTCACACCAGCTGCTGGCCAGCTCCACTGCAGCCCACACCAGCGACTCACTGCAGCCCAGCTCCAGGTCGAGCTGTTGTTCACCATCTTAGCTGTAGAGGGTGCAGCATCACTGGCCCTCATGTGGGATCCAAACCGGGGCCCTCCTGCTCAGATCTGGCATCCCAAGCCAACTCTTAACCAACGCGCCACTCTGCCGGCACTTAAATGAAACGTCTTAACCCTCAATCTGTTACATTCAGTTCTTATTAGGCAAGGAGGTGAATCAAATTTCTGTTCAGACCCGTCTTAATTTACATATTCTCCTCTCTGATCTCAACTAAAGATCTTCGAAGACAGAGCGTTTAAAAAATAACTACAGGGCCGGCCGAGTGGCTCAGCTGGTTAAGAGCTCGCTTGGGAACACCAGCTCTGAGCAGTAGGGCTGTGGTTCGGATCCCACATTGAGGGCCAGTGACGCTCGCCCTCTATAGCTAAGATGATGAACAACAGCTCGACCTGGAGCTGGGCTGCCGTGAGTCGCCGGCGTAGGCTGCAGTGGGCTGCCATGAGCTACGTGAGTGGCTGGCAGCCAGCGGGAGTGGTTGACAGCCGGCGTGAGCTACTGGGAGCCGCTGTGAGCGGCCGATCAACAACCGGCGACCGATTGCCTGACCCAGGAAGAGCACAATGATCATACCAACATGGGCCAGTGAAGCGACGTCCTCCACAACTAGACTGAAGAACAAAACAGCAATTTGTCTACCTGTCTGTTCCCCTTCCCCGATTCCCCAAAGCTGTTACCCTCCCCGCAATTCCCCAATAAAATCTTAAAAAATAATAATACAAGACAACTACACCCGTCTCTTCTCAGCTGCACCCCACAAGTCCCTGCACCTCTAACCCACCATGCTTTCTTTGTCTCATTAGACTTATCATCATCTGACACACTATGTACATGTTCTTATGTGTTTGCTGTCCATCTCACCCCTCTGGAACGTAAGCCATGAGAGTAGAGATGTTTGCTGTTTTGCTCCTTGCTGCATCTCTGCCATTTAAGAGTTCCTTAGGCACATAGCAGGTACTCAGTAATGTCTCACATGGGAGGTAAAAAGGTTGACGATCTAGCTGGGTAGCTTCCATCTAATTAGCTGACTGCGTCATTTAATGGTGAAAGTGAATAATTGGTAGCATTGGTTACCAAAAAGTTTTGTGTTCATTTTCTAAATATTAGAAGGTCCATTTCAAGGTGAATTACAGGAAATGTGTATTTGACTTATCTGTTTCTGTAGAAGAAGCAAAATTATATCTTAGTTCCTTGTGTGTAGGAAGGGAATTTGCCTTGAAACGAAGTGTTGGGTACTAAAATATTCAATAGACTTCTTTTTCCTTTAAAGAATGTTTCAATATGTAAAACCACTTTCTGTTAGAGGTACTGAATTAATCATAAAACTGAGTAAAGTCAGAAGGAGAATGATCTATTTTAAGGATTCCATTTTAGTGATTTCTAAGCTAATAGAATTACTTTTTAAAGAAATGGTAATAATTTATAAAATATCTTCTAGCTGAAAGTATGTCATTTGTAACAATTCAATTCTTACATTATTATCATGAAGCAGCTCAGAGGAAAGAACATAGTGTTCATATAGATTTTATCAGCACATTGTAAAGTGAGTAGACCTGTCTAATGGGAAAGCACCGTAGTATAAGGTTTACGGTGAAGAACACGCACTCTAGCGTCAGACTGCCTGGGGTTGGGTTCGGGCTCTACCATTTACTGTTTGTATGACCTTGGGCAGGCAGCGCTCTCTCGTTCTCATTTTGCTCATAGGGTTCTTATGAGGATTAAATGAATACCTCGTACTTAGTAAGCACTCAGTACAGTTTTCTATTTAAGTAATCATTTAAATTATTAGCCCCATGCCTTGGGCACCTCTGTTAGTTAAGGATTGATTAGGAGACTGCTAATCTGGAAAGAGGTTCAGGTCAGGTTATTCCTTTGGAACCCTAGAAAATCCCTAGTGCTGTGGAAACGTTGGGGCTCGGCATTGCTCCTACATTTCCTTCTAGATGTTTTATCTAGATATGGAATCTTAAAAAAAAAACGAACAAATACAAAAATGGGACTTATAGTTACAGAAAATTAGGTTGGTGGTTACCAGCATCTGGGGGTGGGCAAAATGGGTGAAGGGTGTCAAAAGGTACAAACTTCAGTTATAAAATAAATTAAGTCCTGGGATCTAATATACAGCATGGTGACTATTGTTAATATACAGCATGGTGACTATTGTTAATAACACTGTATGGAATATTTGAAAGTTGCTAAGAGAGTGAATCTTAAAATTTCTCATCACTGTTTTGCTGGTGGAGGGTCTTGCCTTCAATTTTGTAAAAACAAAAAATCTGTGAAGCACAGTAAATGAGGTGTGGCCGTATATCAAATGTTGTACACCTGAAACTAACATAATGTTCTATGTCCACTGTATCTCAGTTTTTTTTTTAAAGTTGAATGCTAAATTGAGTTCAAAGCTTATTTCCTGAATAATATGCAGATCCTTAAAAGAGAATCAATAACAAATTATAAGCAACATAAGCTCCGATGGCTTTCAAAGTGAATGGGAAGCAGAGAAATTAAATCCCCCTCTAATTCTCCAAAGGTCAGTTAAGTAGAGAACTTAATTTGGTGGTTACAGCACCTCATCATTTGACTGCTCCAGGTGAACCAACTTATAACCCTGCCAGAATTTGCTCTTTCTTCTAAACACTCCATAACAAAACAAAAAGAACGAAAGGCAAAAGCTCCACTTTGATCTTCTTACACAATGAGGGGAACATGAACCTT